TCAGAACACCGCTGATCGATCTGAGCAATCAAGTGTTAAGTAAAACTGTTGTACCGTTTTCTGCTTGGCCGCTTGTGAACACGTTACATCACCACCGTCGTCATGGTCATGATCCCCATCATACAAGACATCGTAATGATGCTCTTGCCCCGGTATTGCTGACAAAACTAAACACTGGTCTAAACGCGACTACCTGAAAATGATAATGGCGGATCCGTGGTTTTTTTGAAGCGATTTTTACAATCAAATGTGTCCTTGAGTTAGAATCATCCTGTAAATGAGGTGATACTTTGAACAGTTGTTCAGATTGTAGTTTGGCAAATTTGAATTTTTATATACAGATTGCGAAAGTTCCGTAGCCTTGGTAGGATTCGAACCCGCCGTCTACGCTTTTGTACAGAGCAAGCTCTATCAGCTGATAAGCTACGAGGCTACACCGATAGAGCACTGATCTTTTTACATTCGAATTACCCATCCAACTTACGGTGACCTAATCAAGCAACACAAGTCGAACAGACTCAAATATTTTCTCAAATTATTTACAGAATGGTATTATTCTAGTTTCCTCTCTTGGGTAACACGAAATTTGGTCGCATTGATAGGGAAGAGTCTCCTAACACACTGAAGTTAGACCAGAGGTCCAATCGTATTAACCGAGCGTGTAACAGTTCAATACAATATTTTTTTGTATACTCTGTTTTGGTACGATATTTTCCTCTCCTGGTTATGGGGTTGGAACGCCACGGTCATCTGAGGTCGTGCGGGTTTTACCACATAACATGATTCCGTATTCCGACACCGGACCAACTGATCCGTGAGAGACAAACGTGTCCACGTTGGTGCACAATCCGTGAACAGCGGCCCACTACTATAACATTGGTCCTTAGATGTAATCCTAGTTGGAGCCGGAACCAAACGGGTTTTTCTGTCTTCCAATATGTGAACACCAATCAGTTGGCCTATGTGGGTGGGGACGGGATTGGGGCTGGGTGGATGGAATTTCCACACTTCCAATCGGCTCATCTGGTGCCGTTTCGTCTCAACCCGACTGCGGTGTACTACTGCTGTTCTACGGTCTGGATGTACTTCACCCGAACGGGCAGATCCGGATGCGGTCTGAAGTCCCAGACGAGCTCGGGCAAGTAATGCAACATTCAGTTGACAAATTCGTGACAACCGTTCCGATGGCCAACTAACAAAATGGCTGCTGTGCTGTGAGGGGTTTCCGCTCTCCTGCTTTGTCAGTCTCCACATATTTGTTATGAATTGAAAACTGGTACCTTATCTTTCCCTGATTGTTCACTGCATTCCCTGAAAAGGGGTATAAAATACACTCACACAAGTGCATACCATACACAACCGATTTAATAGGTAAGAGCCATCAGTTGTGGTGGAAATAATTGAACAGCCAAAATGACTTCTAACTATACATTAAATTCGAGCCAGGGGGAGGACATCACGTGATTTTATTGATCGGCTGATTTTCAAGTAGTAAGGACATAAGCAGTGTACGCATGTACTGTGCTGTGCGAATTCAGTAGGCCTCTGAAGCAAACCAAAATTTCCCCCAAACAAATCACACAAAATAGTGCCATATCACCATCTGTGCATGACTGCTCAAAATATCCAAACAATTTTAAAGGAGATTAGGTGTTTCACTCGGAAGGTGTTATATTGCATACTCTGGGCTCTCCCAGCGCATCAGAGTATAGACAGAGCTGCGCCGGCGGATTTTCCGTCGTCTCGTGATCTCGGCGATCGACACAGCACGCCGACGACGGTGAGGGAATGGTAGCGAGGCAACAGGGGTTTGGAAGGGGTAAGGACACACACACATTGGCAGACAGTTCCTTCGTGCATATCGGAAATCGGAAAAGCAAAGCACACAGAAAGTTATTAATCCAAAAGGTGTAGTGTGACATACTGATGCTATTACTGGTGCAATTGCCAGGCGCTAAAATGTGAAAGAATAATTACTGATTATATATCTACATGTACTCCCCTTTTTTAATACTTATATCCGAGTTTGACGAACAAATGGTTCAATCAAAAGCAAGTTCCTCAATAGGTTCTGACTCTTTGTGTCCGGCAGCGTTCGCAAATGTTAGGATAATCTAAGATAGAGAAAGAGGGAGGGAGGGGGAGACCGACTGGCAAAAGCAAATTGTCGAGTCAAGCTATATGTATAACAAAAAGAAAGAATCAATAAATTCGTCCAGAGATCAATTCATTCTATTCGATGATTATTTACTTTGCCTATTGATGGGTGAAAGCGCATTGAGTGGCATTGTTTACTGCCAACCCGCATATATCCATTGTTGTCTATTTTGACGTAGTGTTTTCAACTTACATGCCTCCTCCCCCAAGCAATGTCAACAGATCCGGACAGGCGTGGATACGGTGATTCGGTTTGTTGAATACCACTGACTTCGGTAGCACGTAGTTGAATCGTTGTTTGAAGTGCATGTCAGAATCCCTTAGGGGGGGGGGACAAAAAGCCAAATTTGTCTATCGTGTTCAAGACCTCTGTTGCCAAACTGCCGCCCATCAAAATGGGTCGGGCGGGTTGGTGTCAGACTGGGAGTTGTAGTTTTGAGAACTGGCATCACAATGCATGTGGTGATGATGGTGCCGCTGGTGGTGGTGATGGTGCTGGTGGCGAAAAATGCTGTGTTGACATGTGAGAGAGATGTGGCACAAGTGGGCGGGCACGGATGCTTTTATTGGTGTAATATTTTTCCCCCTTGACGCCCAGAACGCTATATGAACTGAACAGATGCGAGAAAGTAAACAATATCTTCGATACTACACTCCAAATAGAACTGAGAATGGCGTTGCTTGCTCTGTTTAAAGCTCTTTAGTAGGCAAGATATACCCGACTTCATAGGGTTTAGGGCAATTTAGAGAGTTAGAAAGTAATTATTGAGATTGTATTACATTATTCGAATTCCTCTGTACGTATGTATATATAAGTCATAAGATACTGAGGAACGCAATCGCCAAAATCGTTAAGGTTGTATTGATTACCGTCGTTTCGTTCACCACCATAATCAGTATCAACGTTCAACGTATCTATTGGTCTTAGGAATCAATTTCTCATGTATTCCGTTCATATGAATCGCAACAAAATGTTGATAACTCCCGGGTCTTTAGGTGCTATTGGCTCACGAAACCTCATGTGAATGCTACAAGGCAAGCGTAATCTTGTTCCTTGAGTGACTGGCTGACTCAAACACAGTGTTGCTGCCCGGTTCAATTTGTCCCCAGATTAAAGCTAAGATTATATGAACAACTACATGTGTTTTGCCAATAAAAATCACAATAATAATAACCTTATTCCGGAGAGGCAAAATGAGCCACTGCTTGTGATGCGCGAAAATTCATTACGTGACATTTCGAGTCATCGGTCATCAGCACTCAAATAAAATGACTTCATGATTGAGCATGATTTGGAAAATTGATATGGTGAATTTCTTGTAAAATCGGTAGTAGTGTAATGCAAACGTATTCAAGGCTCTCGCAGCGCAGTGGCGTGTACACAGATAGACGACAGAACGTTTGCAAACAAATTGCCAAGCTCGGCGAACAGGCAAAATGGAATGTTGTCCCTCTGTTCGTGTTCTCTCAACTAGGTGACGAAACGATGACGAACGAAGGCGGGGAACGGCGGTTGGCGGTTGGCGAGGCGACCGGGACACGGAGTAGCGAAGGAACACTGGCAGATAGGTCCTACGGGGGTCGTCGTCCCGGAAAGCACAGCGAATACAACGCCACGAACCCAAAAGTTCCAGTGAAATACAACAAGCAATCACGGTAAAATATTACTGCTGCGGTTGACAAGCGTTGCAGCAGTACACGCACAGCACATTTTATTCGGGACTAAGTGCACAATTGTTTTACTGAGTCGAAAAGGAAACATCCGTAATTCGTATGTTCGGAATCCCCGTATTTTTGAGACCCCAACAAGAAAAGCTCATATATATATATCCAACTCCAGATCCACTTTGACTATTCGCAAACGGTTATTACCATTCGGTTTCACTTTAGCATCAAAGATGACATTGTCAACTCCATCAACCACTGATTGTCATCCCTCAGAATATCCAAAGTCACTCACTAGGATGTCTGGATTTCCATGCCCGAAAAGGAACTATAGACGGTGTATTATATAGATTCAGGTTACCTGACTAA